GTGTGTCGCTGAATGTGAGCATTGATGACTGAAAGACATCTTCTGCCTCCATTTATCTGTTTACTACAGTCTGTTGGATTCATGTTAATGTGGATTTAAAGACATTTCAATTAGTGGAAAAAAATCAACCAAATCTTTTGCTACACCGATGCAGTACCTCCGTGGACCCCTAGGGGCCGCATACCCATTGCTGAAGCCCTCTGCAGTAGGTCTAAGGCTTAGTGGCTTACCCCATCAGACAGGGTGCAGGTGATGTGGTTGTTGGGGCTGCAGGACTGGTTCCCACTCAGAAAGCTGCTCTGCTCCCCCAGTGCTGGAGAGATGGAGGCTGGAAGAGAAAGAGGCGTCCCGGCTTCCCCAAGTTCTTCCTCCTCCTCCTTCGTCTCTTCCAGAGGCATCTGGGGAAGCCCTGGGGGCCTCCCCAGCACCGTTAGGGCTACATAGGAACCGGCTGAGAGAAAGAGGGATATCTGCTCAGACGATGATGCCTTTCATACTTAAATGCATTAAATGAGCTGCATATAACTATCACAGTACTATTATCGCTTTAAATCTATAAAAATAGATCTATACCAACTGTAAAGTGCTGAAAGTATTCCAAATAATAATCATTATTCTTACTTTTCAGACGTAACTGAACATTCGTTTCATAGTAAGAAATATGTGGATCTGCATGTTTATTTGACTTATTTCTAATAGTCTTTGCAGAAGAGAAATAAAAACATGATCAAAGACACAAACACTGTTACGGCTGCTTTAACCGCATCTATTATCACTTAATCATTTACATGCAGGAAAACTTACTGAGTGGAGGAGCATACTTACATTTTATTAATTCTACAACCTCTAAGTGGTTTGAATGCGTCACTAAAGTCCCGTTAACCTGTTAGGAGAGGAAGAACTAGAAATTAATCCTTTACAATGAAACATCAATGAAACAGTGAAAATAGTTTAGTTTAAAGATTATCTATTAACAGAATGTGTTGTAGACCTTATGCAACCTCAGCTAGAATGAGCAACACCACTGTAACTATTTAGAACTATTTACGGTATCAGTTCAGGACTAAAATACGGCTCCGATGTTCTTTGTAGGCTCAATGTCATTGTTGGAAGTGGCGGCCTAGTGGATAGGGCATAGGACTTGGAATCCTGAGGTTGTGAGTTTGAAACCCAATCCTACAGTCTGCCACTCTGGGTCTCTGAGTGGGACCCTTCACCCCCAATTGCTCCCCGGGCGCTGCACAGTGGCAGCCCACTGCTCCACAAAGAGGATGGGTTAAATGCAGAGAGTTCATTTCCCCATTTTTTATTATTATGTCCAAAACCAGAGCTCTCAAGCCTCAACCAAAGTATGAGATAAATTTCCATGACTTCACAAACAAATAGGAAACATTCAATTTTAATTCAGTTTATCTCTATAGCAGCAATTCACATC